AAGTAAAATGTTATTGAGGCTTTCAAATTGTTTGATAATAGTATATCGATCAAGCTAAAGGTTTTTTATTTTAGAGAATGTATGATGATAAGTGAAAGAAAAAAGACCATGGAGGTTATTGATAAGATAGTGAGTTTTGTTAAATAAGAGAGAGGGTACAATCCCTTTAATCAAATCAATAAAGTTCAAGGAGCTAATTTGATTATTTAAAAGCTAAATGTTCATATTAAGAAGGTCAAAAAAATAATGAATATTAGAAGTTAACATAGTTAATTGTCAAATAAAAAATTGTTTAGTAGAGGATATGATATTAACAATTATTGTTCAGTACTATTACAAGTCCAAATATGATCAAAAATTTCATAAGTAAATGAATATCTAAGATAATTCCATAATTAGTTATAGAGATCTGGGTGTTTTATTTTAAGGATCTTTAGTATAAAAAGCTTTAAAGAAGGTGTATAAGTTATTTTCATTATCATTTAGAATGAATGTTATATATAGCAATTAACATCTATTGTGGTATATTTATGAAAATGTGGTAGTACTTGAATATTATGAAAATCAATTAATCTGAGAAGGTCTTTCACAAAGAGTCATGGTGAAGTAAGTACAATATTCTCGTAAAAATATAGATTGTATTGGTATCCCAGAGAGATATTGTTCAAAGTGAGATAAGGGCCATCAGCCTTTGCTAATGCATTAATTATGTTATTATAATGATCATTTTAATGAGTTTTAACTTTGTGAAATTCAATAAAAATGGATTTTTCTCTAATTAACTTTATGATAAGAAACTAAATCAGATAAAAAAAGATTTTAAAAATAGGGTTAAAGATAGGAGAGAAGATATAGAAATAGTTTATTTTTCAAATGATAAGATAATATTTTATAAGTCTATGAAGATATCAATAGAGGCATTTATAGAGGCTACATATATAACAGAAAGTACTGCTACTAGTTCTGCTAAAGAGGATAAAGGTTAAAGAAGGAGAAGTGTAATATTAAAAGAGAGTAAAGATTTAAATGAATCAGATTACAACTAAGTTACACTTATACAGAGTAATGAAATACCTAAATTAATAAGAGAACTGTTAGTATAGAATAAGAGATTAGTTGATTATATGAAATGATTTTTTAAATTATCTAAAATAACAAGAATATCTATATTAAAAATTTATTAGGGGGCAATTAATTTAATTAATAATAATTTTATCTTAAATAAATAATCACATAATATATTTTTAATAATAATTATATAATTTCTTTTTGTTATTCTTTTTGCATATTCTTTTCTTTTTTTATTTTTTCATCTTTTTTATTAATTTAAATATTACTTATTCATTTTTTTTTTAAATTTTATAGTTTTAACCTTTTGGTTTTAAGATTTTTTTTTATATATAAGGATTTTATATAAAAGTATTAGTATTCTTTTTATTTAATTTGTATTGAGATAGATTTTTTATATAGATTAAAATAATTATATAATTGTTTATATTATATTTTTATTTTTTAAATATAGTTATAATTTTTAGATTTAAAATTTAGTAGATCTATTAAAAATGAATAATAATAATATATTGTTATCTTACAATATTAACAACTAAAAATTAGTATTAATGTAAGATTAATAAAGGGATTTAGTTTAAATTGATACTTTAGGAAGAGTTATAAAGGGTTTACAAATAATTATTATTTTAAACGACAATGTATATTTAGAATAAACTTTAAAAATTTTATTATAAAATTAAGAATTCAATACAATTATATTTGTTAGCATATAATTATTATTAGTATTTATCTTGTTAGTAATAAAAACTAATTGAATTCTAATTGTTTACAAAATTGTTTTATTATTATTATCTACTACTATCTACTACTGTCCACCTTAATCAAATCCTAAAGCTATCTATTTATACTAAATTACTAAATTTACTAATATAAATAAATAAAATATTAATTGATTATATATAATAAATGATTAATAATGTAAAATGATTAATAATATAACAGAATTTTTCGGTGACTTCTGGATTTTCTGCATAATCTTAATTTATTTTTTTCATTTTCACCATCTTCATCATTTAATGTAACACAGTCAATGTAACTTCTGGTCACGTGTATCACGTGATCTTTTTGAATCAATATCTTCCTATTACAATATCAATTCAAATTGATTAAAATATAGTGATAATAGAATAGTAATAATTTTATTTATATTTAATTTTTTAAAATATATTTTTTTTTAGATTACAGTCAACCTTCTCTAAATGCATCCTTTCAAAACCATAGTGAAAATTTTAAAAAATATGTATTTAAAGAGAGTGTACATTTAAAGAGAAAATTTTTATATGAATTTTATATGCTTGGGACTGAACAAGAGCGTGCATTTAAAGAGAAAATATATAGTGTATGCATTTAGAGAGGATGCATTTAGAGAGGGTTGATTGTATGTTTATTTTAAAATCTAATATAATTATAATAGAACATTATTAATCTTTAAAATATAACTTTTATTGATCATTTTCTATAATATTTTTTAATATTAATAATATAATCTATAAAATCAATTAGATTAAATAATTTTTTTTATTTATTATAATTTTAATAAAAAAATTTTAATTAAACTTTTATTATATTTATCTTTATATGAAAAAATATTTAAAATATATTAAAAAAAAATATAAAATTAATTATTAAAAAGTTAATTTTTATTTATAATATTATATTATTTTTTTAATGATAAATATAATTATAGAAATTTATAATATTTTAACATTTAGTAATTATAAAATAATAATATTAGAATTTTTATATTAAACATATCTATAATAGTATTTTTTAAAATTCATAAAATTAATAATTATTAATTATAGTATATTAATTTTTAAAATAACTTATTTACAAAAATATAAAACTAGTTTATTTATTAACATATATCAAATGATTGTATTTCTAATTTTTGAAATTGATAGATAGTAAAATATGAGTTTAAAATTTAATAATTTATTATATATTTATTAAGTTATTAAATAAAATTGTAAACAAATTTGCTTGCAATATAATTATTTAAAAGATATTTTATATAAATAAAATAAAAATTTGTTAAAGATTTTATAACTTAAAAATAAAGTAATTTTTATTTCTATAATTTAATTTGATCTATTAAAATAACTTAAATTCTAAAAAAAATAGTTAAGAAAATTTCTAAGTTTACACAAGGTATTTGAACAAGTGTCACGTGATCAATATTGTCACCTGTACCACACACCTCTCCGCCTTTTAGTTTTTACTATTTAAGATTCTTATTCGTCACTCATTATCCATCACATAGACATCACACGGGTAATTTCTAGTTTCTTAATGCCGATAAAAGTAATGATAATTCCAGCTGTGTCACGTGATTAGGGATGGGGACGGTTCGAAAAGAGCGACTCCGAGTCGGTTCTGGAACCGATTATAAATTCAGCATATTCTGGGTTTCCCTGAGTTACAAACCATTTTTAACCAATTTTAAAAATCGAACCGGAACCGACTCCGGACCGGTTCCAAGAGTCGGCTCAAAATCGGATTGTCATCAAATTAAAGGTAATAATAGGACGAATTTGTTTGATAACCAGTCAAAAAATTTTTTTAAATTGATCATCAAATGATGCTCTATTAGTATAAATTTAACTTAACGCTCAAAGTTTAATTTACTTAAGAAGAACCGAAGAGGAACCGAAATGGAACCGATAGAACCGTCCCCATCCCTACACGTGATCCGTATACAATAGAAATTGCCAATTACATAATATCATAAAAAATTATTTGTATTACATAGTTAAATTTGATTGAAGATTATGACTAAATTTAGAAATTTAATTAATTTAATTAATGTTTAATTAATTACATACCGGACCTTTGCGATATCAGGGGCCAAGGAAAATAAAAAAAAAAAAAAAGAGATAATACAAAACCTTTGTTTAATGTCATATTTTGCATATAAAAGTAAAATTGAACTATTCCGGCAGTTTTCCCCTTTCTATTGACGAAGAATCCCATATGATTCACTATATCTCATAACTTGATTTGCTGAGAATAAGAGACGAAACATACATTGATGTTATGCACATCACATTTGAGTAAGGTAGAATGAAATTCATATAATGCTTTGAATGCTTTACTTCCAGGAATTATTTTGAAAATCAGATCGGCTTATATTTGTCGATTTTACTTATTATGTAGTTTTGATTTTTTTTGATAACTCGTTAAATAAAATCTACGTATAATGGGTATAATAGCCGAATACTATATCCAACAAGGGTTCTATCGCACCTACAAAAGGAACAAGTCTTGGGATTCTGGAAATCACAATAAATTATATAAATGAGAACCAATCGACCATTTAGGTTAAAATACTGACGGAGTTCCGCGGTCTTAAAAGATGTCTGATCGCTTGACCAATCAATTAAATAATCCCATGTTCCGATTTGGGTAAGTTCACATGGATAATGCATTTGAAATGTTAACCAAAAAAAGTTAGAATCTCAATCAACATTGTTGTTGTGCCATTCGAAATTGAAATTAATCGGAGTTCCTTCCATGACATTCTAATATTCTGATAGGTTGGTTTAATAGGGAGATTTCAGTTAATTATAACAAATGAAGTAATCCAAATAAAAAAAAAAAATTTATGGTTTGCTATTTTTACCCCAATAATCTTGTCATATAAAAAAATCTATAAATTCAACAAATTTATGGAACCTCCTTTTTTCTTTCTTTTTCTCCAAAATTTTTTTTTTTTTTTTTTTTTTGATCCATTGTCTTCTTAATTAGGATATTATCCAAAAATAGTTAGTTAAATCAAGATATCAAAAATGTTGATAAAATCAAGAGATTTTAGAGAAGTTGTGTTAAGATCTTTTTTCATTATCTCGTTTACGGTCCTTATAATAATACTTTCAATAGATAAAATATTCATAGCATTTAAAATAAAAGATGTAGATCCATTAATTTCCATGCAAATTAAAGATTTATCTACAGAGGGATTTCCAGCATGGTCATCATTTATTTGTACGCAACGTATGACAGGTTTACGAGCGCAAACATTAAAAAGAGGAAAACCAAATGGCACGTCAACAACGGATGTGGCGACGGATTTACCTTTAGAGCACATTACTCAAACTACAACAGATAGTTTAGCAGCTGGGGATTGGACCTTACAATTAGGTTCTTGGCCCTGTTTTATATTTAATCCAGGAAACGTCAGGTTCAGTCCTGGAGTGGTTGATCAAATCATTTTAATGGCTTTTGTTGAGGAAGGTGTAACCGTCCCTGTTGCTCCAAACAATTTATTGTTTGGCATATTTGATGAAGAAAGAAATATGTCAATCGTTGAACCTTATGTTGGTCCAACTCCTTCTGTGAACACCTTTACTTTCACAAGAACTCAAAAAATTGATGTCGATAAAAGATTTCATTCTTACTTTTTTGTTAATAAACAAAATTCCAATCAATTGGTTGGAGGGTTTGAAGTGAAAAACATGGCTGCAAGATTTTTATATTCCCCAGACACATATTTGGTAAGATTCAAAACAACAGTTTTATTTCTTTCATATTGATCACTGACTTTTTCTCATGTTTCTTTTGTACTAGGCGGTGACTTACACTGAGAGGAGGAAATATACACCATATGGTGAGAATTTATCTTTGTATTTTTTTATTTTTCAGAGATGTGATTTTAAACCAATTTGATTTTATCCAGATCTAATCTCCGCCGTTGGTGGTCTGCTGACATATACTATGGCTGCCTGGTTTATTTTATTTGGGTAAATGCTTACCTCTTTTTTTTTCAATAAAGAGAAAAGATATGACTACGAAATAATATCACGTATGATGCTAATAATAATCTGTATGAATAAAATTTATTTAGGAGGGGCAAGTACCGTTCATGGGGACTAGTTCAGCGATATTTGTTGCACAGTTCACCAGATGCCATGAAAAAAGATGATAGCAATCGATTATTGCCAATTACTTACAAAGATCAAAAGGACTTGGAAAGTCAAATAAATAGCGGGTTAAGTCCAGCAACCGAAAGTTCATCAACTCCTGTAAGCGTCAACGCGTATACGCCTTCATTATATTATTTCTCGGCTACTGGAACTCCAACGCAACAAAATTTTCCTTTATCACCGACTAATCGAGTGTCAAGCTCAAAGAGCTTAAATAAAAGGATTGATGCTAGGATTAACCTGAAACTCTGGTTTGTCGAACAAACCTTGAGTCGACATTATCTTTCAGGATTTAGATTACGGAATTATGATGTTGATTTTAAAAAGTTTGGAATCGAAACCTATGATGATGATGAAGAAGCATTAGCTCCTCCAACCGCACATCAAAATTGGAATCATTTCAATCCAAGTATTCGTACTCCTGATCAGAATAGTCTTGGAAAATTTCAAACATCATCATCTCTTTCATCATCTCCTCGCGGAAGTCAAATGTTTCAAAAGAATAATAATAATTTAAATCCGGAAGAAATGAGAACTCAATATCCAAATGTAACGTTAAATCAAGTGCCAAAGGAAAAGAAGAATAGGGTGAGAGATAGTAGAAGTGGTAGCATTTCTACCAATGAATTAACGGTCGGCAAACCAATTGACGGGAATTATGTATCATCATCATCGTCGTTATCATCATCTCACTTTCCTAAAATTCCTGAACAATTACAACCTCGTTCAAACCCGAACCTTTTCCCAATATCACGAACCGATAATGAAAACACTAATCCAACACCACCATTACAATCAATAACATCACCTCCGCCGACAAATAATCCGGAAGATCGATGCTGAGATTTCAACGAAATATTTCACGAAATCTTTGGATGTATAAGAATTTGTTAAATTATATTTATTTATTTATAATTTATAATTATTTAAAAAACATTTGTAATAACTTATAAAATTCCATAATAATATATTTGTAACATCATTAATAAATACAGTATATAAATATATATTTTTTTTAAAAATTTTAAAAAAATCGGGGGCAAAATCACACAATTTCGACCAATCGACGCTAGTTGATTTAAACTTACCAAAAATAAACAAATTAAAATTTCGTCGAATGATCATTAAACACGATGCATTTATTTTTGTGATAACAATTATGTGATAAATGACGCGCCACCTTTTTTTTATTTTGTTTTCAGCTTACAATGGAAAAAAAAAATTTTGTCAAATCAAACGAAATAAAGAATTTCCTTTACCAGATCAATTAAGGTATACGAACATAATACGCGTAATACATGAAACTCCAATGATAACGAAAATGCAACTTTTTCCGGAACATTTCCCACAAAAGTTAATTTCATTTTTATTTTTCCGGAAATGCATCCTGCAGTCTCGCGTTAGAGAAGGCCGAATATCATTGTACACAGTGCATTGCATTTTCGTTGTTCTTCATTACCCAATGAAAGCCGAATTCCCATATGTTGAAAAAGAAAAAATTCACAGGCGGAGTTTTCTAAATGATTTAAAAATAACCTCTTTTTGATTACTAAGTTAGTCAATCATTTACCTTTCATGTTTAGATATGGCACTTTTTAAAATATTTTAGAATAACTTGAATTTTCTGTATATATATAAAAAATAATATTTTTTTTTTCCTTAAAAAAAAACACTAAATCCTAATTTATAACAAATCCTGTTTCTCAACTTTATGCTTATTCTTTAAATCCTAATTTGGATGAGCTTTTCAGGGGTAAGACAAATGTTTAAATCGAGACGAAAAGAGAATCATTCATATTCGGCAATCATAATAACGGAACAAATTCATGAAATCACTCACGTAAGATGGTGATTTGATCGTAACAAATACGCGATCAAAAAGGATCCGGTCCGAGTTAAACAACAATATCATGGGGATGTCATAAGATGACGAGAGAGTAGTAATCGGGGGGAAGGGTGGAAAAAAAAATATCATATGATAAATATAGATAAATATGAATTTAATCTTTAAAAAATATAACCATTTAGGAAAAGATCGATTAACTGTATCCAGACTTTCTATGAGAAGCTTAAAATATTTAAGATTATTTCTTAATGATCTATGAGTATAAAAAAGTTGCACTGCATGAGAAAGAAATTACAATGTGTCACAAGCGTATGTGGGCGCCAAAACTTATGACTAAAAAGTTGGAGCGGTAAGATCAACCTCGTGGATGTGGTATGACTGTAGGATTAAATAAACAATTGTCAAATTGTTGAAATGTTGTCTAGGCTCATGATAATCTATGTCATATTTCTACATTTATTTTTTGAGGGTTAAAATTTCTTACTAATATTTTGGAAAAATCTTATGAAAAAAAAAAAGGTTTCATCATATGCACTTATTTTGAATTGATAAATGGAATTTCCTTTTGGTAGGTTGAAAATCAAAAAAAAAAAAATTTATTTTATTTTTTTATATATAAACTTTCACGTCTTGACATGGGTAATTTCAACGCGCTATACCTTATCAGAACCGCGTCAAAAAAGGCGTATTTCAAAAAAAGTGAATAGAATTTTTTTTTAATTTATCAAAAAAAATTTTAAAAAATAATACAACCCATATTTCTTTTTGTTGTCAAAAGAGATTGTTGTTCTCTGATTACCAATATCATCAACAAGATAAACAAGAACAATACTTCTCTATTGTTCAATGATTCATAGAATAGTGTAAACATCACAAAAAAAAGAGGAAAATAAAGAAAGATAGAGAGAAACCTGTTTTCTTAGTGGTTACATTATTGCAGATATGTGTACAAACAAGAAATATTAAATGCGTCTGATATTTTTCCCGCGGTATCGTGTTCTTTTTGATGAGAACCTCTTTTTTACTTATTTTTTTTTGGTTCATTTCTTTTCTTTTTGAATGAAATAAAATGAGTGAAATCTTTTGTCTCATCTCAAATTAAAACAATACGAAGGATTTACGCGGTTGATTTAATTCCCTTTTATTGAAGGTGTGGTGTCACCTTTCTCTACTTTTAATGATTTCCCAATACATGAACCCTTGATAAATTTTTTTTTTGTACCAGAGAGAAAAAAAAACTTTAATTTATTTATTTATGGCTGCGTTACTTTATAATATATATATATATATATATATTTGGGCCCCAATTTAATGATATCTTACACGATTAAGAAACCTTTTTTTTTTTTTTTTTATAAAGAAACAAATTTAACTTTATTATTACATACATAAATAGAATAGTATAAAAATAATAATAATTTTTTTTTTTTTTTTAAGAATAGATTTTAAGTGTAAGTAACATAAAAAATAATGTAAAAAAAAGTTTTTGGAGTTACACGATATTGTCACACAATTTAACACGTTCATGTAATTTCTATTGTATAATCGATCTTCAAATGATTTTCTTACTTTAAGGTTTGATTTCGTCATCAATTGAATGACGTTCCTCTAATTTAATTTATCTGATTGAAATTTGTTAAGAATTTTTTTTTTTTTAATTAAAATAAAATGATGATAATAATGCCCGTTAAAACCTATTGTTATTATCGTGGCGGGGTGGCGTTTTTCCCAAGGGATTCAAACCCCCCTCTCTCTGAACAAACTTTTTTTCATGACTTGGACCAGCCTTTCCGTCGTTCTTGAACTCAAAAAAAAACAATATAACTAGTGTTGTTGCTTAATTTATGCCTAACTTAACTTTCGCCTAAACAAAATATCAACTTTATCAAGAGAAGCAAAAAGCTTTATTATTTATTTCAAATAAAATTTTATTTCAAACTTTTACTATTGTAAAAAGAGATTTAAATTCGAATCTTTTTTAAAAAAAAAAAAAGTTGAGAGTAATCATAATAATAAAGCAAGTATGCCTGCTACACGTAAACACCTTCACATTTCGAAACCCCGCCGTCGTCAACGTTCCGTGAGTCTTACCACTCGAGCTTCACGTTGTGGGGTAAAAAATTATATTAACGTTCTCAAGAGTATTCACCCTTCCGTTGAGACCTTTTTTCCGGTAACGAAGCAATATCTGCAAGAGTATATTGACGCAAAGAAGAAGCAGGGTACTATCAAGGCGAACTCTTTGGACCAATATTTTCAACACATTGAAAGTTATAATATGGCTCTTGGTCATGGTTGGGACTCTCAAGAATTTGAACCCATGATGCGTGATGTATTGGAAGAATTGGTTCAAAACGAGGAAAGGACCGGTCAACGAAAAACCACTTCAACAGCACCTGGTGACGATGATGATGAAAGTTTGGGTCAGGATGACATAAACGGTATCTTATCCTTTTCGGGAGGGATTTTTTTTTCCTTCCTTTCCTTTTTCTTTTTCTTTTTCTTTTTATTTCATGTTGAAGAATCGTGTATTGATCCATTTTTCCTTTTCTTGTTTTGATCAAAGATTCGTCATCAATCCAAATCGTTTGCTTTGACATGTTACATGTCCCTCCCGTTAAACTCGAGCGCAACGCGCGAATTCCCATGGTAACCAACGATGAGACGATGATTTCCCTTCCTTATTTACACAACGCAATCGCAACCGCAAAGTTTCCAAAGAAATGGGGAAAGGTTGATAGATCTATGATCTATTATCGAACCGAAACGTGGAAGGATGCACCACATTACGGGTTGTCTGATGAAAATACTTTTAAGAATTTCTGTGAAAGTTGGTCAAATCAAAGAGAGGGTAGTGAAGTTCAATTGGTTTTATATGCCAAGCCACGCAGCACGACTCCAGGTAATGTGATCGATCGCTTAACGTCTGTATTACGTTTGAAATCTTTAAATACAAATAATTTATTAAATATTTCCTTCATTCAGCCGCCACGATCCAACCTTTGCAATTGCCATCGAATAGTGATTCGACTATGATTTCATCAAATATTCCTTTGGCGCCTCTCACTCCTCGTAAAAGTCCACCTCGCTTACAACAAATTCCTTCTCTCGATTTTAGTCCAGGTCCAGGTACGTGAATTGATCGTTTCCGTTGTCGTGATTAATATAATATATAAAAGATTTGATCACACGAATGTATAAAATTTATCAGATAGCGCAACACCATCACCGACCTTCATACAACTCAAATCCGTCACCATCCGATCACCCACCAGAATCTACAAACAAAATATCGCCGTTTCAGACAAAACAACATTTTCTTCACTTTTGTCTTTTGCTATCAAGAAACCAGCACCACAAGGAAAGCAATTTGTTTTACAAAGCGCAGATGGGGAATTGGAATATATGCCGGAGGATCCAGTTAGGAAAGTGATTTACGGTTCACTTCATGCGGATGTGATCGTAAAGATGGAAGATGTCAGGGAGGTTGACTTTGCACAATTTTAGTGAGCACGTGATTACGTAAATCATCTTTCAACATATATTTCGATCAGGGGAGCGGAGATTATTTTTAAATTATCCTTAGCGATCTACATTGGTAGATTTTCCGTCAAAGATTTATTAATGGTTGATGGAAATGGTTTACTTTACCTTCATTCACATGGCATGTATTGGAATTATTGAACATTGAAAAAAAAAACCAAAAAAAAAAAAAGTATTTACTATTCTCATGCTATATAATACAATAGCATATTTCTTTGATTTATTTTCCTTTTTTTTTTATTTGATTATGTACAGAAAAAAAAAAAAAAAAACACAAAAACAAAAAAAAAAATCTTTTAAAAAAACCGAACAATTTTCCTTTTCCTTTCCTTTTTTTTTTTTTACCGTTATTTTTCTTTTCTTTAGTTTTTTCTTTGAATTATTTTTTTTTTATTTTTTTTTTTTTTTTAGTAGTAATGAGGAGGTGGTGACGATGTGAGAGAAATTTTTTGATCCATCAGATTTTTTAAAATAATAAACATTGAAAATTTCCATTTTATTCGTATAATAAAGGTCAGGTTAATCTATATTAGATTAGTATTCAATGACTAATTTAATTGTGTCACCTAAAATCATTACTTTTATAAACCTAATTAAACCAGACTAAAAATAGATCACTAAAAACTATAAAATATTTTTAAACTATTAATTAAAAAATTTTTATAAAAAAAAAAAAGATCGGAATTATAATTTTCATCAAATTTGGTATCTGGTGGCGTTATTAAAGATTTTAAAGTTGTGTTTGGTAGCACTATAATTATAGTTTGACAGCTTGGCAGATCCTTTTTTTTTTCTTTGTAAGACTTAATATCCCAAACATTGGGCCGTGTATAACGCGATATGGACGTTATATGAGAAAATAAATTTAGAAGAGAAGTGATTTGTGATAAGGACATCTACGATATATTTTGAATATTCAAAAAGAAAATTTTGTAAGGAATGTAAGAATAATATCGCAAAAAAAAAAAAAAAAAAAAAAAATTCGATAAATTTCTTTTGACGGTTGTAATCCGATGACCTGTTACAAATTAACAAATATGCACCAAATGTTGAACCTAGTAACGTGGAATAGTAACAAATGATGTTACATCGAAGTTGTTATACGGCGGTACTATATAACGTAATGCGATATATTTGCAGGGGATATCTATATCGAAAACAAAACAATCCCCCCCTTCATGACTAAAGTATATCGTTTTAAAACGATAGTTCATCGATTGTGATAATAGGCTGTGTTTGGTGATGATTTATGTGATGGTATCGTAATGCGCGAAAAGGTTTCGGGGAATTAAAAAGTCTTTCTTTGGAAATCTGGGGGTATTTTTTTAAAAATCATTTTTCGTGTTTCATAAAAATGCCTAATCTAGTCGAACTAATCGAAATAGTAAACTATTTTTTTTTTTTAAAAATAGATTATGGATCGACCTAGCGCTTGCTTTACTGATCATGCCTAAAAAGGGAAGATTTGATTTTTAAATCAAAAATCTTGGCATTATAAGCCGATTTTTTTTGACGATACAAATTTTCTATTAAAAGATCGATTTACTAAAAAAAAAAAAAAAAAAACCACATTCAAAAAACCCATTCAATAAACGCATGGGAAAAATTTTATAGGTGTCTAGTATATAGTTTATTGAAACATTCTTTAAAAGTAAGGCGCACGGTTTTAGAGATGATTGGCACAGATTATCATGAAAATTCCGTGATTTCAACATCCCAATGATGGAAATTCGGAATCTTGCTCATATAACATCTCGTCATTTCGAAAGATGATGGAATCATCAAAAATGACTTGCCAAAAAATATAATTTTTTTTCCCCTTAAACAATGTTCCTGAAATTTTTCCAACCAGTAATCAATCATTTTAACTTTTAACAAATTAATTGGTTGAATTGAAATCGTTTTCGAGGCCAATCGATAATTTAATCATGGTGTAACGATGGGTTGATTGGTCGCATTTATTTGTAAATACTATCCATCACATGATAAATTGCATTATATAAATGAACAAAAATTTCTTCCTTTTAACCTTAAAAAATTCTTATTTTAGTCTTTTCCGATATTTTAACAGGTTATCTATATAACGAAACGTGAATTTATGTTGACAAAGCTCTTTGGTCAATCTTTGTTTTAAAATTCCATAATAAACCTCCCTTTCATGAATGAATTCCCTATTTTTTGACACATGAGAGATTAAAGAAACCAATAAAAATGGGATATGATGATCACCAACACCCTTTTGCTCTTTTTGAACTTCTAAAACGGAATCAAAAAAAAAAAATCTTTTGCACGAATAAAAAGGACAAATTTGATAATTGATAACATGAACCTGTAGTTGAAAAGGTATGTTATATTTGACGATCTTTGAAATCATAATAAATCAATCAGGACCATTTTTGGATTGATTGTTGAGAAAATCATGTTCTGGGAGGTTTTCAACAGGTTGGGAGAATTCCTCATGGCGCAATAAAGATCTTTAAAAATTTTTACCTGAAAAAAAAAAAAAAAAAAAATCCTTAGAACAATCTTTTATTTACGAGAAACGCGTTTAATTAGTCTGTATAAACTTACATCAATGGGTCGAATTGCCTCTAGAAATCACGTCATAATGAACTTTTGAAGGTCTAAATGTTTCAAATGACGTCGGAATTTCGGAATTACAAAATCTTAAATTTTTATTTTATTTTTATTTTTTTTTTTATACAATACAACAAGGCTTTTTGTTGTTTCATTATAAACAAATAAAAGCGCATCATCTCTTTTTTTTTTTTTTTTTTTTTTTTGCAGAAATCACGAAAAAAAAGCACAAGTCTCTAATTCTGTTCGCAAAAAAAAAAAAACAAATAAAGTCAACAAGCTGAACAAGTAACATCATCTGATGGAAGTTACCCCATTTGATGCTAAAACAAATTTAGAAATTCGATACGCCAATGGGTATTGCACGTGATTCACGACATTATTGGGCGTTTTATCGTCCACCCAGATGTTTGAATGATCAAGGTTTCCTGGATATTCTACCTGTTTTTGGAATTGCGTTATTGTTGGATAGCAATCCAATTTGGTCATATTACTGATTTAGATATTCATCATTTAAACTCCAAATAAAGTTTTTTTTTCCCTTAAAACAAATAATTCTTTGCACGACGTTAATAAAGATGTGCATTGTGCTCCAACACCCAACCTACTTCTTTGTTTTCTACATAAAACTTTTAGGGAGAATCTTTTTTTTTTATTTTCCCTTTGATAAAAATACGAAATACCAAACGGTTTGTTCTCTTCCCTCCTTTTGGCGTTAAATTTTCAATAATAAACCTTTTTTTAAAACATGCATTGTTATCGGATCTTTTTAATAAGTTTTCCATTATAAATTAATTAAGGCTTGGGTCCTCATCAAAGGCTATAACCAATGCGTTATTATTAATGTCGTGCTTGCTGATTAATGTTTTTAGTTATGTTTGGAGAACTTCCCTTTGCATTTAATAATAAACTAATTTGCTAGATTGGTTATAATGTACGCCAAACAACGTCATGAACTGCGGAATTGGTTTGATTTCACGGTCCTGATTGGTCATCATCCATTACCAAATTAGGTAAATGCTATGAAGAATCATGGGAATGCATACTATTGTCGCACCTCTTCTGTCATACGATGTGCATAAAAAGGGTTTTCTTTCTCGTGAAAAGGTAAAAAAAAAAATATATTTTTTTTTTTTTTTTTCGCGATATTTTTTTTTACTCTTGTTTTGTGAAAAAAAAAAAAAAAACAAAATAAAAAACAAAAAAATAATTTTAACAATTCTTACAAATTTTTCATCTCCCCCTCCCCTCCCTTTTTTTTTTTTGCAATTGAAATACTTCTTGTTTTATAATAATATTTTCCTTTTTAGAATTTATTATGAACTTGTATACAATTTATAATAATAAAAAAGTGCCGGAACTTCGTGAAATGTGTGCTGGTAAGTTCCCACCCTGGTGACCTTGTCGGTTTTTTCAAGACAAACGTTGATGAGGTTGACGTTGCTTATGAAACGTTGATTAAAATTTTTGTGAATTTAGCTCGCAAGCTTGGTATTCAAGGTAATAAGCCAGCATTGATTGATCGTTTAATGAAATCAGACAATCATGTAAAGATAGAGGAGAACGAAATGCAACTTGACGTTGCCGTTCCTATCAATCAACAACACCAACAACGTCAACAGCAACAACATCACCAGCATCAACAACTATCACTACAAGCATTAAATTCACAGACTTCAGAGCCTGGGCCTTCACATGAAACTTTGAGTAATGTAAAATACGAGTACGAACCTACACTTGATGCAATGGCCACGGAGGAAATCCCTCCCTCCGAAGAGTTAGCTTTACCTCAACAGCCTTTAGAGCAGGATACCCCCACAAACGTTGACATGCCCATTGAATATTCGGAATCAATAAATCCCGTTGCGAAACAGCAGCAGCAGCAAAAGCAAATCAATCATCCTCCCGTATCATCTTCACTGCCCACATCCACCACATCGCCAGCATTAACTCACCCTGATATTTCTTCTTCTTCGACTAATAATAACTTGAAACAGAATCGCAATAATCTATCCCAACCTTTTGAACCTTCAGCAGAATTGTCTCCCACATATCAAAGAGATGAACCTCAATGTGAGATAGATCGTGATCTCTTGGCTCGTCTTATTTCAGAAAGAAAGTATGGAACCCAAAATTTATATTCCTTATCAAGAGGAATCATGTTGACCCCAAGTCGACCAGGGATACCATATAGCTATGATTTACTGTTGGAAATAGTACAAGGATCATTAACACATAGAGATGGGGAAATACCTCTTTGGTTAAAAGATTCTTATGACACAACGTTTGGGACGTCATATTTTGGTGAACCAGAATGCACTCGTAATCCTGGCATACCCGTGGAAGATTTATTTTTGAATGGATTTTGATTTGTCGAATAGTTCACATTTTCCTTACTCTTTTTTTTTTTTTTTTAAAAAAAAAAACTCTTATATGCTTTTAGATCTTAAAATTGTATTTGAAGGTATCTTCTATTTTTAAAAAATATAATTAATCTTAATCTTTAATCTTTGAATTTACTGAATTTTATTCTCTCCTCTATTTTTTGATATAGTAATTTTTTTGAGTCACTGGGTTCAAACCATTATGTAATATCTAATCAATGATAAATATTGTATGGATTTTAGCTGGTTTTAAAGTTGTAAACATTTGATTAAAAATTGGGATAATGAATCACTGTAAATAAAGAGCTAGTAATAGTTAGTAAGTAGACACTTGAAAATAATAATTATAATCATCAAGAATATTATTACGATTGCTTCGTTAGGGCGGATCTAGTCATTAAAAAAGATTGGCATTGACGGTCTAGCCTGTTAAGGAACTTTATGATGACACGATGATTGACTTAATTAAACTTGTAAATGTTCGAATAATGATAGTAACAATCATAATAATATTAATAATTTAAAATTATTATTATTTAATTATTATTTAACCCACATTTTAAGAAAATCCATTCCTCTTTATTATTGTTATTCCTATTCATATTCTTATTATTATTATTACTTTTTAACCACATCTCCAAAAAGGAAATTACCTTACTTTTTTATCATTTTATGGTAGCCCATAATATAAATAATAATAATTATAAATAATAATCTTTTTAATGTGTATATTAAATAATATATTAGAAATCAAAGAAAATTATTATTATTATTTAAAGATAAATAAAAGAAGACCAATGTGAAAGCAGAGTGCACGAGTTCACTTTCTGATTCCCGATTGGCTCATATATTTCACGTGATAAAGTTAATTTTATTGTAAAAAAAAAAAGGTGAAACTGAATCGAACAAATGAATGACGGACGTAATGAGGTTTCATTAGATTACAGGGGATTTAATTACATTATGATATTATTAATTACGAGTCTTTATCTTTGCCAAATAGTTATAACCTCTACATAAGACTCTAATCTATATTAAGCGTGTAATCTTTTTTTCAAACTTTGCCAGCGATTTTGTAAACTTTTCGTGTTCCTTTCGGGTAATTTGACGATAATGGTTGACCAAGGAATAGGAGGTAATAATTCCAAGATGCTTTCTATCAAAATTTTATCTTCATCAGGAGTCCAGGTTGCACCGGAAGTACCTTTCTTTGGCGAAGTGGCTCTAGAGCGAGGCGATTTCACCGAAGAGGTTGGTGAGCGAGGTGACCTTTGCGATGAGGTGGTCGATGAGCGAATTGATCTAGGACTTTTACGAAGTTTACGTGAGGAAGATCTTAGGGAAAGTTTTCTTTTCTTTGACGGGGGAGTCGATGATTCCTGAACGGAAAACGAGTACACAAAAAAAAAAAGGAAAGAAAAAAAAAGTTAACGAGATCGCCAAAATGATATAAGATTCAATTCATATGGTCTATATGTACTTCGTCTTCTTCTTGATCCACTTTCTTATTTTTCGCATCATCATCGTCTTCACGTTTACCGGTGGTACGATCTCTTAAATTTTCCATTTGTTTCAGATAGTTTATTTTTGAAGAAAAAAGAAAGAAATATTAAAGAAGGAATGAAGTTTTTTTCTAAAAAAATCGTAGTGGATCAATCCAAGCCTTAATTCTTTTTTTTTTTTTTCAATTCAGGCTACTTTTAAAGCAACTAGAATTCCGTGAAAATAAATAAATTTTTTTTTTCTGTATCAATCATTAGGGTAAGGAGTATAAGAAAAAAAAATAGTCAATGTTATTGTTAGGGCTGTATTTCGTATACTTTAGTATACTTTTTTTTTAACAGAAAAATCACGAAAAAGTTTGATAACATATTTTTAATTATGCAATAGTCTTGGCATTTGCAGAAGTATGTGAAAATGATCCTTTTTTTTTATTTTTTTTTTTTTTTGCATGATTAATATTATCATCTTTTGTTTTATTTTAATTAAGAAGGCTAGAAACTAACAATCATGATTTAATTAGTCATTATTTCGTTTCATGCGATCCATGTAATGATAATAAATCAATGATGGCACAAAAAAAAAAAAAAAAAATTGCTGCGCCAAGATAATTTTTTTTTTTAAAAAAAAAAAGATTGCTTTTTTTGGACAATTGTAACGAGTTACTTTATTAAGGAAAAAAAAATTTTTTAAGGTTAGATTTTTTTATGGTTCATGTTTGCTATATTTAATAAATAATTTGAAACATGAAACATGTTTAGGACCCTGCTTGCCATTAATTATTAGTGCACATTGAGCATTATCTTTTGAACCAAGATATTCGATCGGACGCATTTAAATTTCTTTCTCCTTCAGGCTAATTAATTGTTGGAATGCTACATTAATTAATGCCTGCAATTGTTCATCTCGCATTCTTTATTTAAAGGCTCACTCATTTGTAAACGAGGGGCGTTTTACCTAAAAAAAAATAAATTTGCCCTAAAAATAAATTCGTACCACGCACCCTTACAGGTTTTTTTTTTTTTTTTTTTTTTTTTTTTTAAAAAAAAATTTCAAGAAGCACATCCTTTATGTCAAAGTGTTGCAAAAAGCGTGTGCAGACAAAATTGATGCTTTTTTTTTTAATTCGGGATCCATTCCTTTTCGGTTGTTGATGCACCCATTAAATGTATAAAATTGCAGAACATGAATGTTTTGCGTGTGTGTCACATACAAAGTTCCTAACTTCATTTGGCAATTTTATAAGTTACTCGCGGAGTAAGGAGCATAGACAGGGGGTAGCACATTTCTTAAAAACTTTTTTTTAAGGAACTAGATCAGGAGAATCCACCTAGTTCTCTTGTCACCAAGAAATCTATCCCTTACCTAATGTTCGGACTCTCGCGCAACTGATGTTTTTTTGATCTTCCGATTCAGAACATTTTATCACTTCAAAAAAAATTTTTTTTATCATAATTTGATCCCTTTTTCCCAGCACTCACCCAAAATCAAAATGTTTCGTGACGTCGAGAATTTTTTTTTCATGCCAAAATGTATGAAAAGTTTTTCATATCATGCGATGAGAATATGATATCTTATATACCGCATTGATGTAATACCGTTTGAATAATACATTTTCAAGAATTACCATTAATCCATCATCATTTACTGCAAGTATTATCACAAGTTAGAAATCTTGTAAAGTAATCCTCACTAAAATAGCGAATTACTTAGCCTACTTCATCTTTTGAGGCTTCTGGCTGATCAGAGGGTAACGCGCACTTTTCATTAAAAATTTCTTTTTCTCAAACAACATTTTTCAAAAACTAATTGAATCCACTGAACCGTAATGCCTTTCAAATACCCGGTTTTTAAAATTCATCAGAAAGAGTCTGATTTTTTTGTCATTGTTGAACATTCCAGAGCACAGAAATGCCCCACCCACCTGGTCCTTTCGCAAGTATGAAATATCACCAGTACAAGCACAGAAGTTATTGAATAACATCACATTTCAGGTGGCCGGTCTCAATTAATGAATGAGACGGAACAAGACTTTTTTTATTAGCAGACGATAGTGAATCCGGCTTTGCCCTCATCTCCTTGAAAATCTCGATAAAAAATTTTTATGACCACAAGGAAGGCTGTTGGGTCTTGTTGTATAAACAGGAAGTATTGAAACACGGGTCAGAGAAGCTTGGCGCCGAATAGTTATTGTGAGAATCTCCTCCAGCAAGGACAATTTCTTCTCTACGTGCTAGAAGTGACATACACGGACTTAATTTCAATATCAGTACCATATTAGTATCAATTGGTGTCAATTAGTGTCAATTAGTATCAAAAAAATTAATGCAAGAGAACAAATTTGTATCAATGTCTAGTGCACAATTTGAGGATGTATTTTTTCAGCAGCTATTACGTTCTTCTTGAAGCAACTAATTTGCGTCTAATTGCTTAATCACAATAAAGATTAATATTCAAGTCTGAAGATTAGACCACATATCTGCTAAACTTCAGCATAAATTTTCGTGATCCGTCGAAGTTGGTCGATATGAATTATTCTGAAAATATGATCAAGGCAATGATTAATGAAAAATAATACAGTTCAAATGAGATTCGTCATCAATAAGCGTATGATCGTTTTTTTTTTAATAAGGTCAATTTTCCTTTGTAAACGACCAAGGATATAATTGTTAAAAGCGGTGATGTGCTCTTGGAGATTGGAAGCATTTGGTAAGTAATAAAGCCATTTGGATTGGAAACTTTCAATCAAGATTTTTAATTCATAAATATAATTAAAAATGTGATCTGTGTATTTTTTAAAATTAATTTATAAATATAAATATATATTGTATTAGAGTAAAATTTTATCTTTAATTATTATAATAAAAATCTAAAATTATTTATAAAGTTAAAAACTATTTGGAACTTTGCCAGTAAATCAAATTATGAGATATAAGATTTATTATATCTCATGGCTTGATTTTACTATACCAGTATCAAAAATTATTTATATGACTGAAAAATTGAAGTTAATGCAAAAAAATATTTGTGAAAAGACTTGCAACTTTTCAAATAAAGTTTATTTTAATAATTAACTTTAATATAATATTTTTTTATAATATATAATATCTAAATCTAAATATTATTATATATAATTTTAGATATTTTATAAATTTTTTTTTAATAATATAAAAAAGAAAAACATATATTTTAGTCTTTATAAAAAAAATACTTATCAAAAAATTAAAAAATTTTAAATCTTAATACAAACTGTTATTAATTTATAAAAATATTTTTTTATATTTTATATATATTTTTTTTTAATCCAACATTCTTTTATTTTTCTAGACATCATTTATATTAATTTGTGTAATAAATTATATTTACAGTTAAAAATTATAAACAAGATTTTAACAAAAATTAAAAAATTACTGTAAGCAATTTCAGACAAATTTATCTAGAATTTTACTACAAAATTTCTTCTCATTACTTTTAAAAAATGAAAA